GAATTCCTCCAATATTTTTTTTCTGCACAGAAAATCCTTTTGTTCTACTCAACTACAATTTTATTTTTGTAGAGTCCTATTGATACTGAGTAATACAATTTATTATATGTGGTAAATTCAGCTCATGCTGAACAGATAAATGCATTTAGAAACACCTTGCTATGCATGGCGCTGTCATCTTTGAGTGAAACATGTTGCTAAACTTATCAATTATTCCCTCAAAACTACAAGTATCATGAGAAATAATAGAAAACTAGTAGTCCTTAACTGTACACAAGTTAACAAAGCTTGAATGTATCCCAATTTAGCAGTGTTAAGTTGAACTTTGCTTGGTTTCTAAGTTTGGTGAAACACTTAAGATCATCAGTAGGTCCCACTGATTTTCTTTAGATAGGATGTTTTATTTGCAATATGTATATCTGACTTTAATTCCAGAGCACTAATACTTAGGGTAAGATTTTATATTCCTCTTGGGCTAAGTGCTTAAATATTCCTAATGGTTTAAGATTTACTAGCCTAGACATATTTGATACTAATAAATCAGAGCTCTGAACTGGGAAGTAGAAAGTTTGGAATCTTGTGCTAGTTAGTTTTGTGACCTTGAACAAGTCAATGAGCCTCAATTTCACAGCTATAAAACATGGAGGTAAGCACCCAGAGGGTTATGTTTGTCACCTTTATTTTTTTAATGAACATGGTTGTGGATGTTGCTCAAGTCAAGGTTATAACATTACAGGTGATCAGATTCGAATTGTAAACTGGACAGAAATGGCTTTTAATAGTCTGTAAGTGTAGTTTCTGATGCTTCCAAATTAGGCATTAAGTATTTCACTTCAAAGCTAAATAAATTAGATCAATTTAGAATCCTTGGAGTTGTTTTGTATTCCCTGCTAAATAAAATGAAATTTCCTTCTGGTTACTAGTAACTGGTAATATAAAGGGGGGGGGGGGTGATATTATCACACCTACTTCATACAAGACAGCTCAGCCTGAAACTCATTCTGTATTCTTGCTCTAGTAACGTATCATCTAGGTGTGTATATAATTTCTATGACCTGTATCCCTAGCTGAAAACCGGAAGCAAAAATGGCTTTGGGGATAATCAATTTATTCCACATGCCTTCATTTTTAACAAAATTTTCATGTGCTGCTACTCCTTATAGTAGGGAGACCATAGGTACAAATACTGATTTTCCCTCAGTCCGGGAAGCTTGCAGTTCTTTAATATGAAAATATTTTATTGCACTTGTCCTGGATGCATTTCATTAAGACCTTTACGGTTGATGGTCACTTATTTAGAGAAGCATATATAAAATTTTAAAATTTGCATAAGAAAAAGTGAAATTTAGTGACAAATTTTTATGCAGATTTTAGACATATTTGATGTTTAAGTCCATCCAGTGGCATTTCTGCTCTAGAGAAGTCCATCTACAGTCTATTAGTCGAGTGTAATTTTGGATTGGAAAGTACACTTTCTTCATACTATTGAAGGCAATTTTTATTCTATAATTTCAGCTGCTTTTGAAAGTAAGAAATTTTAGTTTATTTCAGCTATTTAAGCTCAACCAGTGCGTACCTTTTATCAATTGAAAATTCGATA